TTTCAATAAATGCTGGTTTCAAATTTGCTAAACGCAATAAAACTGATGGGACCTTACACGATTTCCATGACTCTGTTAACTGCGACCTCTCTCCTTAAAGGAAGTGTTGGTCATGAAGTTTCATTGCCTTTGAATGTTATCATGAATATACATTTATATATTGTATTGTACTTTACTGTTTTTTAAATTTTTATTTTATAATTCTTATTTTATTATTGTCATTATTTTAATTATTGTTGTCCATGCATGTGAGCTGATGCACCTGACTACCATTTTTTGTTTGACAATGATTCTTGCCAGAAAATTAAATCTTTTAATCTGAGTTATTCTCTCACTGTAATCATCCTTTTCATACTAACTGATCTTTTGAACGACTAGAATTCTATTAAGATTGCATGAAGAATTCACCTCAATCAATCATTCTGGCCAGGAGATTAGGCCCTTCCACAGTTTCTGACGCCATCTTGTTTGGGGGCAAATTTGCCAAAAATTGCGGTAAATGTATGGGGCAAAAGGTGTATCTAATGTCTGATAACTCAGGGAAAATTGGAGTACTGAAGTATCTATCAGTTAAAAACTAAAGATACTAGGCAAAAGAATGTATTTATCGTGTTTGAGGGAAATAGCCTTGTTAGATAAGCCACATTTGAGGTTTTCATTTTTCTAATGCCTGTAAAACCGTCAAGTCAACATTTGCAGGAAAATTTAGAGACATTTGTATGAAAAATTAAAAATGCAATTTCTCACCTCACAGCGAATCCATATTCTTCGCGATCGTTTACGACACTACCACAAAATGTGTAAATTAACACATAGCCTAAATAGTGGTGCTGATGCAGCTTGTTTACAGTAGTTTCGACATGACATTTGAGATGACGCATTGCGCGTGATAAAATTATTTCTCAGAAATGGAATAGAAATAAAAAGCGTAGTATTGTGTGGTAGTATAATATAATAATATTTGTTCCATATTCGGCCACAAATTTCCAGTTAAAATATTTTTCATTTAGCAGAAATGCCCGGTCAGAGTGTCCGACCCGGCTAACTTTTTACCTGTTAAAACCTCAAATTTACCGGACAATTGTCTGGTGACTGACTTTTATTTGCAGGCTAATTTGTATGTCTCAGCTGGCTGCCTCACTGCTCAGGACTCTGGCCTATCCTGATTGGGGATTGGGCACTTGGCTAATCACTCAGTCCCAGAAAAAAAAAGGAATTGTTTTATAGAAATTGGAAGTCATGTAAAATTGAATGGCCAGTTATTTGAAGGGAAATAATGGAATGTTTCATACTATCTTGAAAAATGTCGTTTATTTATAGTAGTCATCTTGAAAAGTCCTTGACATAAGAAATTTAATTAGTAAACTTCAAGGACCAAAATTAAGGTCCTCTGAAAGTATGTGATTTCTTAATTAGGTCTTGGAAAGTCCTTGAAGTTTACTGATTAAATTTCTTGGACAGTGTACCATATGATATCACTTTTCTGAGAAATCAAATGATTATGCTAAGGAAAATTGGGTGATAACGATGGAACATTTCTCTTAAGAGCTACTTTTCAAATCAGTGTGAGTCATCCCTGTACCTAAGACATTAAAGTACAAATGTAATAGCCAGTAACTGTTGTTGTTTTTACAAAATGTTGATCATTATAGATACTAATTTAACCTTGGCAGGGGGAAAAATGGGACAAAGAATGTCAATTCATTGATCATGAATACAGCTTAGTCCTTGAAAATTATTTTTTGTCTTTTAAAAGTCCTTGAATTTTGT